ATATATATATATATATATATATATATATATATATATATATATATATATATATTGATTTGATTTATCATTACAAAGAAGAAAACTATATATTATCTAAAAGAATATTGCAAAATCTAGGTTTACAGACTTTCACCACATGAAACATGAAAAAATAAAGACCAGCAGAAAACTTCACCAAGATTAATGATAAAACTTTGTAGAGAAGACAGAAGAGTATATAAATCCTGCTCACAATGAAAGCAGCTGTCCTCTCTCATATACATGTATACAATATAGACCTGGGCTAAGAAACTACGCAATGATAAAGCAATGAAAATGTACTCTTACGATAATGATTCCACGGATGACTTAGATTTATACACGTCCTTCGCCTACTATGTATGATCTAATTATTCAGACGAGAAATGCATTGGTGACGACGGCGACCTAATTTAAAGGTTGCGTATACCTAATAAAATCAAATTATTTCAGATTTTCAGGATTGACTTGACAATAAGTGAGAGAATATCGATTCTACATCAATAGGTAGTTCGAACACCAATGTGATTTATAGATTATGGAACGCAGTGCACAGTCCATTCTACAACACAGTTCTCCATTGAAAATATTTTAAAGCATGCATATATCAGTTAATTAGACAGAACCTTATCCCGGGGACTGACATTTCCAGGTAGGGTAGTAGTGGTCCACTATTAACACCGTGAAAAAATTGTGAGGGTACCAATCATCTCTAGTGGAAATCTGCGTATCAAGTTATTATGCCTGCAAACAGGATACAATAATACAGTAGGCATAAACAAATCTCCAAAACTAAGAGACGTTATCAAGTGTTTTCAATGTGTGTTTTCTTGGGCGGGGTGGGGGGGGGTCTAATTATCTGATACGAATTGCGAAGTAGAATGCATTTCACTTTTGAATTTCGAACAGTGAATTGCGAATTGCGTTCCAAAATCTGATTGCCACGTGAGTGCGAGATTCAAATTCGATTTCTCGAAGCTTTTGTTAATATAACACTTTCATTTTATTAGTGGCCACAAATCTAAAACAATGCTCTAAGCCAGCACCATAGATCTGGCTGATCTGCACCAGTTGTATTTGACCAATTCTCTCAATACAACAAATTCAAAAAACAAGAGTATGACAATTTTGTCCAAGATTACGGGCCCTAGGGTATGTTTTAGATGAAAGCGTTGCAGTAATAACCTTAGTATTAAGGTTTAATAGAAAACACATATACACTGAATCTGATTGAAAGAGGTCAGTTGTCCTTCTTCCAGTTCATATGAAACAACTATAAAATTTATTTCCGATTTCCTTGAGAAACACAGTATATGGATTGTGAGAAGAAAATTCACAATATCAATTAACAATAGTTTCTTCCATTCATATGTCGACTCGATATATCCCAGTGAGCTTAAAATAATAGATACCACAGAGTCTGACACATCTCTTTCATATTTGGATTTTTTACTAGAAAAAGACGTTAATGGTAACCTAACAAGAAAGCTTTATGATAAACCTGATGACTTCAACTTTTCAATCGTCATCTTCCCTTACTTATGTAGCAATATACCCTTATCATCTGCATATGTGGTTTATGTCTCTCAGTTGATTCGATAAGCAAGAGCATAAGAGCATACGTACAAACAATTTCTTAAACGAGGCAAGTTATTGACAAACATGTTGATGAAACAAATATATCAACAGTCTTGTTTAAAGTCATCATTTCGCAAGTTCTATGGTCGATACAATGCCCTTGTCAGCAAATACAATCTATCATTAAATCAGTTGACTGACGTTTTTCATACTAATTGTTAGGCCATTATTTACACACTGAATTGTCTATGGATTTTTCCGTTTTCCCCGATCATATCAGGGAGCACACGACGGGTGTGACCGGTCGGCAGGGGATGTCCACTCTCCGTGGCACCTGATCCCACCACTGATGTCTTAAAGGTATGCGTTTGCTCTGCTCCTGATTTGTATTGTTTGAATGAACTTTAGAGCTTGAATATTGTTCGTCATCCCCATAATTAATTTAAAAAAATAATTTTCCCAACAGTCAAACAAAATTAGCGGAAACAGATATTATTTTCGTTGATCAGAATAAATAAGTTTAGCCTCTCTGAATTCCTGATATGTCTTCTTCTTTTTTTAAAAACTTTTTTTGTGAAGATAATGAACAATGACTTTAATCACTCTATTTGATAAATGTTATACTTTTATATGCTGTGTAATTAATGTTGTTCTCCTTGAAAAAAAAAAAAATTTGAGCGTGTGTTGGAAAAAGAATCTAAATGCCTTTATCTTCTCATAAGATCGTAGGATTACCTTTTGCGCTCTGAAACATTCCTCAATATCAATACATTATATTCTTTATAGTTTTTTCATAATTGATACTACGTAGTAAATAAATCTATTGAAAAAAACCCTTCATTTTGAGGAAAGTTACATGATTCTTCTAAGCAGATGAAATGTCTTCATATTAGATTATAGTAGTCGGTGATAATGGCCTGTAGACTACCATAATGAAGAATTCGTCAAGTTTGATCAATGTATTTTCGGTCCTTTGGTATTCGTTATTGGCTCTTTTAAGCTTTCTTTGTCAGTCTAACATTACTCAATTTGACTGTCCCCTGACTTTTTATGAGAGAAACCCGTGGAGGTTTAATAGTATGTCTGGTATTGTGAAATATAGAAAACCAATTCATACTCATTAATTTTTTATCTTTCAGATTTTCATGCAATAATACATGTATTTGGTAAAACACGAATTGCCATTAAACACGTTTTATAAAAGATTCTAATCTTTGGTATCAAACATACATAACTATTGGTTCTGGCCAATGATCTTAAAAGAAAATAGAATAATTACGCATTTTTCGTAATTACTTCTCTTTCATGATATTTTGCAAAACCTGATTAATTCATCTATATCTGTGATCGACTGGGTATGGGCGATTGCTAGTTAAAGAATTAACATATATCCTGTATCGAGACTTGCCTTCACCAAATACAGATTTATTTGTTTTTGATGATAAAACCTTCTCTATTATACTCACAATCTATATTTATGACGGCATTTTAGTATATACGACTATATTTACAAAATATGTTTTAGATTATTATATAATGGAATACAATGAAAAATACAAAAAGTACAGAACTTCTGTCTACTAGCACCTGTGAATATTGGTTTCCTCTCTCTCCGATTCGCGCTGAGACCATTCGCCCCTAAAGACCTTTTGCACCATATAATGTACATATATATGGTGTATATATTTGTTTATATACATATAATTCACATATCAATTACATTTTAATGCCTCTGTTATCGAAGATTCGGGGGCATGTAAATTTTTGCTTCGTCTGTTCGTCTTTGTTTGTTTGTCCGTAAAACCATTAACTTTGTCCATAACTTTTGACTCGTCATCGTCGGATACCCATGGGTGATCTCGTTTTTTTTCTTATCATGTGATAAGTAAAAGACGAGATCACCCGTGAGTATCCGACAATGTTGATTTTTTGGAGCAATGACTTTCAAATTTCACATGTGTATTCCTTGTGACAAGACCATTCTTTGGGTACCAGCATATATGACGTCTTGACCCTGGAGTTTGACCCACTTTTGCAAAAATTTTCCCAACTTTAACTTTGGCTATAACTTTTGAACGTTAGGTGCCAGGGTTCTCATATTGCTTAGGTGTATTTCTTGTGACAAGACCTTCCCTTGGGTACGAAAAATTTTGACCCTTTGGCCTTGACCTTTGAGTGTAACCTACTTCTCATAAACTTTAACCTTGCCCAAAACTTTCGAGTGATTAGTGCTAGGGCTTTCATATTTCACAGGTGTGTTCCTTGTGACAAGACCTTCTCTTGGGTACCAACAATTTTGACCTTGACCTTAGAATTTGACCTACTTTTGAAAAACTTTAATCTTGGCAATAACTTTTGATTAGAATATTTAGTGACCGTACGTTATCTTGGCTACCAACAATTTTGACTCTGACCTTGAAGTATGTCCTACTTTTGCAAAAAATTAACCTTGGACATATTTTTTGAAGGCTTAGCACTAGGGTTTTCATATTTCACATGTATATTCCTTGTGACAAGACCTTTCCTTGGGCACCATTAATTTTTACCCTTTGACCTAAGAGCTTTCTTTCTAAAACTTTAACCTTGCCTGTAACTTTTGAACGATTAGTGCTAGGGCTTTCATATTTCACCTGTTTATATCTTGTCACAAGACCTTCCCTTGGCAACCAACAGTTTAAACCTTTTGTCCTTGACCTTGTAGTATGTTCTACTTTTAAACTTTAATCTTGGTCATAACTTTCGAAGGCTAAGTGCTAGGATATAATTCAGATTTCACAAGTACATTTCTTGTGACAAGACATTCCCTTAATTTTGATCCCTTGACCTTGGGGTTTGACTTTAACCTTAGCCATAACTTTTGAATGGTTGGTGCTACGGCTCTCATATCACAGATGTATTCCTTGTATTATGCCTTTCTTTGAGTACCAATATTTTTTATCTCTTCACCTTTGAGTTTTACTTGCATTTGAGAAACTTAAACCTTCGCCATGAGCTGCATACGGGGCACCAGTGTTTTACAAACACATCCTGTTTTTTATTAAAATACTTTTTAAACCACCGTTGGTTTTTTTCATCATTCATTCGTTTTAGCAACTGCTCAGTTTGGTATACTTGTATTTATCATTTATTCCTCTCTCCCAGTTACCCATGTCACTAAAAATGTACTGTGTAACTAATAATACCCTTCAAGTTTTGTTTGTACAAGTCGAAGGTGGAACAAGTAACATATCAATGGTGGGTCCAAGTCATCGGAAATGTATAACACCTGTTTGTGGTTGTTTATTAAATTCTATATGAAATGCAAACGTTTTAAGTGACTTTTAATGCACAATGTGGTAGCGGTTGCTTCCCCTTTTATTGCATATAACATCATAAATAACACATTATAGTAAATTTCTCTTCTTTATTTCAGGTGTCGCTGTGTATCTTACCAGGTAAAACGTAATTATCAGACAAAAGCTGTTCCTTATGCGATAAATACCTACAGTCTTCAGACTTTTTATTTATTTTTTGCGATGATTGGATTTCAATACGTAAAACAACCCCATTATTTACACCTATTTCGTCTATTTGCTCATCAGATTCACATTTTGAATGTCTTCGTTGACAACACTTATGGAATGCTAAATGAAGCCCTGCTCTAAATTTCGGGCTCATCCAGATATATATGATTGGATTGTAACAGCTGTTGCTCATGGCCAACCAGTGGAAGAAAACCCAGAGAACGGGCATAAAGCTCTGGTTATAGATCTCAGGATCCTGGTCTCCAGCAAGTGTGATCACGTGGAAAGGCAGCCAGCAGAGGGCGTAAAATATCACCACAGTCACCATCATGCGGATCATCTGCAAAGATAATGACGGAAAATATCATTTCTACTTTTATTCTATTCGAGACATCCTGCATAAATACTAGTCGTCATTTGAGTCACATTACTGCTTGCTATAGTAATTTTTTTTATTGCAGATATTTTTAGATAAAAATACTGAAACAAGGGCACCACGCAGCGGAGCATCCCCTCACAAAAGAGCGTATCGATCCTCATATAAATTATTACCTGCGTAACTTCCGTTACACCCTCATACACAAACTCACGCACACACGCGCGTTACTATATCCCCTCCAACTTCGCTGTGAGGGGATAATAATCTATCAAAGGTATACAGGGTCTTCAAGAACTGATAAAGTAACGATGATAAAAAGACCTGCTAAAATCGTTTCAGTATTTGATTCTATAAAATAAAAATGATTCAAAACTTTCACCTAAATATTGGCGGTATGGAATTATGAGTACATTAAAGAAAAAGGTGTATTTATTGTCTTTTCTAATTTTTATAAACAAGCACACTTTGGTCGAGTCTGGTATTCATATACCTGTTCGCTATCTAATAATAATTTCTCAGCATTCAAAAAATGTCTGAAACTAATATTCTCTTCATTGAATCCTGTAAGTTATCAATTTATATAAATGCGAAATGCAAGAGTTTCCCTTATTAGACTGTAGAACAATCTTGTGCGCTTTGAAATATTCCCCAATATTCATATACTAGTTTATCTCTATACTTCTTCCTCATCACTTCTTTAAAAAACTTCATTGTGAGGACAGTTATAAGACTGCTGTAGACAGATGAAGTGTCTTCATATTAGATTATGGTAGTCGGTGATAATGGCCTGTAGACTAGCATAATGAAGAATTTGTCAAGTTTGATAAATATTTCCTAGATGCTTCGTTATTTTTATTGGCTCTTTTGAGCTTTTTTGCTAGTCTAATTAACCATATTCCCAGTGGATACTCTCTCCTAACTTTTCATGAGAGGTTTCTACGGACGTTTAGTAGCAAGTGTATATCTGATATTTTCAAATGTAGGAAACCAATGCTTTCTCTCAATAATTTGATTTTCATGCAACAATGTTTTGATTTTCAGGGCACTGGGGTTAACTCTATGCAAAACAAGTTTTAGATCTCTAACATACTAGCACGAGATCGCGAATAGCCGTTACAAGTTCTACACAGAATTAAAACTTTTAGAATCATATAATCCTGTTCATTTTAGTTTCATCAACATAGTTATCAAAGGCACCTAACTATGGGTTTTGAGCAAAGACCTTCCACCAACATAAATACGTGTATATCTATCCCTGTCGAGATTTTATATTGTCCACAGGGACAAAAAAAAAAGTCAAATGCAAAGACACATTGCCTTGCCACTACATGTAGAAAAAAAAAGTTTTGTCTTTCTAGCTTTTACTCTTCCTCTAGAACTGCTATTTTTATCGAAAACGATGCCATGTAATCGACTTACGTAGTTTTAAAGGCAAAACTGCATCATTAAAATATGTATAAAACTAAGAATTAAGCTTATTTAGAGCGTATTTGAAGGTTGGCTTATGATTTCCCAGCATAACTTTGCTCAGCACTGTTTCACACTAGTTTGTGGATTATAAACAAACTTATTGTTATTTTAGGTTTTCCTATTGCATGTAGCTACAGGGTAGACATCTTCAAAACAGCAAGTTTTCTTGAACGTTCTAAGAAACATCGATATGCTCTATTGCTGAAAGAGAACAAATCATTAATTGAGATAGTAGAGTCAGGATTATTAAGTACGCTATGCATCATGGGATCAATTAGAGCTGTACAGGAAGTGAATAACAAGAAGACTGTCGGGATATAAAGCTGTCAGAGCGGATTTTCTTAGACTTCAGACATTAGTGTTTGCTTCTCATTCATAAAACAATCTGAAAACGCCATAAACATAAATCTGAAAATCCCTAAAAAAATATATCTGAAAAACTGATCCAAAAACCCCAACAGAAAAATCTGAGAATCCTGTAGACATAAATCAGTATATTCCCACAGGAATTTGAACAAGACCAATTATTTTGTTGCATTAAAGTCTGACAATCAGAGTTGTCGAAATGTCTTGTAAAAGATGAATTTATGTTTAATATGTGAACGCCTACTACGAAGACACATAAAAGTGGTTAAATTAAAGACTAAGCTTTTGTCATGTAATGTTCCATAACTGCATTCCAACAACTCATATATAGATTTAAAATGCTTAATTTCACGATACAAGGAAGTAATAATTTATGAAAAGCAATTCTTTTTTTCAAGAACGACCTTGTTTACCCTAACTGATTCCTTGTCGGTCAAAAGGTCTACAGAGCTTTTGTTGTTAAAATATCCGTTAAATAAAAGTTTATGATTCTGGTGTTAACACTTGCTCAGTCTCTATTCAGCCTTGACTGACGTATGTTATTTGTATGTTCAAAGGGCATTTGGGCATGTAGTGAAATGAATAAGGTAAAGTTAAAGAAAAATTAATCGATCTAAAAAAAAATACAAACAATACAAACATGTGAAGAGGGCACAAAACACGGACCCCTGGAAATTCCAGAGGTGGGATCAGGTGCCTAGGAGGAGTAAGCATCCCCTGTTGAACCCGCCGTGAGCTCCATATATTGATCAGGTAGACGGAACTATCCGTAGTCAATTCAGTATAAAAACAAAGGCCAAATTGGTATGAAACAAGTCTGCCAAAATACGACTCAATGATAGGTTATATCTGCCAACAAGGTCATTAAAACGTCCATAAAATTTACGAAATGCTGACTTTAAACGAGGCTGTTGAAAAACCTGTAACATCAACTTATCAGTGAGTAGCCTTCCTCCTTTAAAAATTGATCGTACTCAAAAGCTTTTGAGTAGCGAATAAGTTAGGAAACATAAACACCATAAGCAGGTGATAGTGGAATATTACTACATAAATAAGGAAAGTTGACGATGGAAAAGCTAAAGTCATCTCGCTTGTCATACAATTTAGTTGTTATTTGGCCTTTATCGTCTATAGTCAGTAAAATATCTGAATATGAAATGATTAGTCAATATATTTCTGACAATAATAATTATAATAACTAATTAATAATAATTAATAACCAAAAGAAAACACGATGTATTGTGAAACCCAATGCCCGCCCAGTTTGAAAGGGAAAAAATAACCATGACCTTATTTAATCATTAACTATAGACTTCAAAAGTTTCTCCAAAAATGCAAGACACTTCCCATTTCCTGATCTTAATTTATTCTGATCTATATGGCCTTGGTTTAGAATAACGATACACCCTCTGAACATAAACTACGTTTGTGTCTAGTTTTAGTTTCCAATGTTTAACGTTGGTTACAATTTTATGAATTGGACAAGAATTTTGCATTTCAAACGCCTGTGACCTAATCCAAATCAAATTGGTTAAATAAAGTGGTTAGGTCATCTTTAAAAAAATGTTTGGTTGCCCTCTCCCGACCGACTGGCTAAAAATGGCGCGACTCAAAACTTTTTTTAACCTCTAGGAAGCAATTATTTTTTATGCATTCCGGAAAACAGATTTTGAATATTCAGCATTGATTTTTAAATTTCCTTGGAAAAAAAATTCTCACCTACCTATCGACCCAATTTGGTCATCCTGAGTCGGAAGAGGGCAAGCAAACATTATTTTAAAGTTGGCCTTACAGTTTTTATCTCAAGTACGACTAGCCAAGCACAACTCATAAAATTGTTATTTCAAAAGTGAAGAGCAAGATTTTAAAGCACATGCACTTAACGACATGTTGTTTATCTTAACAAAATTTTTTAACCACCTACCTAGGTACATGTAGGGGATTAAATATTTCTTTTTTGTGATAAGAAATATAAATAATAGTCAAGTGCCAGTGGGTTAAAGCTGCGAAAGAGAAAATCATAAATTCATCGAATAGCAAACAGAATATTTGAAGGAATATGGTAAAGTTGTCATATTGTAATTTTTGTATTTACTACCACCCAGTAAATTCAAAAATTACAATATGACAAAATGAGCAACTTAGCCCCATCCTTAGGACTGTTTCATGGAATCTGTAGTGGTCATGAATTTCACAATGGTAGTGAAGGTTGAATACTCATCATAATCATGCAAACAATCCTGCTAGATGCCCATGAGTAAAGGAGAATATTTTAGTATAAATGTGTTTTCAATAAAGGACAAACTTCGTCCATCCTGGAACCTGAAATCAGGTGCCATGAATTTCACATATTTGGCAAAGGCCCATAGCAATAGTTTGCTTTCTTTCTAGAAGATTGAATTATTTTTTTTTTTTATAGTTTTGGCCACAACTCCCGAGCCTACGGGAGGTACAAACCAAGAAATTCAAAACTTGTTTCCTTTTGTCCATAGGTGATATAAACCAAAATGTTCAAAAGTTTACGACCAACGGACGACGCATAATACACAATGACGGACAAAAATCCCGGAAACAATATGTCACTGGAGTGACTCAGGTGACCTTAAAAGAGGACTTAAGACTGTTTATATGCCCCTGTATCTGAAGATTCGGGGGCATATAGTTTTTGGTCTGTCTGTCTGTTCACAAAAAATAACTTGCGCCATAGCTTTTGAACGGTTGGAGCTAGGGCTTCATATTTCACGTGTGTTTTTCATGTGACAAGACCTTTCTTTCAGTACCAATATTTTTGACCTCATGACTTTGGAGTTTGATCTACTTTGGAAAACATTAACCTTGATCATAACTCGAGAATAGTTGGTGCTAGGGCTTTCATATTTAACATGTGTATTCCTTGTGAAACGACCTTTCTTTGTGTATCATATTTTTTTTTAACCGAATGACCTTGATCTTGGAGTTTGACCTACTTTTGAAAAGCTTTAACCTTGGTCATTAGTATCCATACAGGAACATCAGCGTTTCACAAACATATTCTGTTTTTTTTTAAATCTTCACAAAATATGATCTAAATAATTTCAATCTTTTATCCATCATATCATATATAACTTTTTACCATATTCATTGGA